AAGTTCATGTGCAAGAGTGAGCACCTGCCCAAAATAGCCAAGACAATTTTTAAAAAGGACCAGAGAGGGGTTTTGTCCTAACAAGAAAAAACCCGCAAGACTCAAAGTCTGATGCTTGCAAAGGAACAAACAGGCCCTCTACTGTGAATGTGGATTTGTTCTGGTCCCTGATCCATTCCAGGCTCCTCAAATACTGCCTGGTATGTAGCAGGTACTCAATAAATATCCTCTGAATGAATGAAAAGATCCAGTTCATATAGGAATTATCAGATGGAACTTGAAGTCAATGAAGAAAGGGCAGACTGTTCAATAAACTGCTTGGAAATGACTGACTGATCTATGCAGAGTAATAATGGGGCGCCAGGGTGGCTCAGTTCACTGACCGTCCTCTCCTCATTTCGGCTCAGATCATGGTCACAGGGTCGTGGGATTGATCCCTGCATCAGGCTCTGCGCTGAGCATGGAACCTGCTTGGGACTCTCTCCCCCCGCTCTGCCCCTCTACCTTGCGTGAGTGCGTGCACTCTCTCTTAAAAAAAAAATTGGACCCCTCACCTTTTATGGTTCTCCAAAACAAATTTCAGCTTAACACCCTAAAGAGCATACAAATATATTGAAGAAAATATTTTAAAACTATATTTAAGATGTGGGGCAAAGCCTCTTTTAAAATAAAACACGAAAAGCCAAAGAAATGAAACAATACTCATTAATTTAGCTAATTAAAATTAACACCTTCCTGTACAGCACACTGGATCGTATACTTGAAAGTTGTTGGGGCGCCTGGGTGGCTCAGTCAGTTAGGCATCTGACTTTGGCTCAGGTCATGATCTCAGTTAGTTTGTGGGTTTGAGCCCCACGTCGGGCTCTGTGCTGAGAGCTCAGAGCCTGGAGTCCGCTTTGGATTCTGTGTCTCCCTCTCTCTCTCTGCCCCTCCCCATTCGCACTCCGTATCTCTCTCTCTCAAAAATAAATAAACATAAAAAAATATTTAAAAAAATAAGAAAGTTGCTAAGTGATTAGATCCTAAAAATTCTCATCACAAGAAAAAAAAACCTAACTATATGTGATGAGGGATGTTAAGGGCATATTGTGATCATTCTGCAATATACCTAAAAGCCGAATCGTTACATTGTGGGCCTGAAACTGATGTTAAATGTCAATTCATCTCACTTTAAAACACACACACACACACACACACACACGCACGCACGCACACACACCTTTGTTAAATGGAAGGGCACAGAGTTAAAAGACATAACTGAAAACCACTGAACTGTACACTTTTCATACGAGTGAATTTTATGGTATGTAAATTATGTCTCAAAAGAAACACTTAGAAAAGGGACAAGTGACAACGTGTAATTACGAAGGGCATCCATGATAAATAAGGAACTGCTGGTAGATCAACATGACAAAAAATGAGCAGCAAATACGAACTAGAGAGTATTATGCTAAGTAACATAAGTCAGGCAGAGAAAGACCAGTAACATGATTTCACTCATATGTTAAATTTAAGAAACACATCAGACGAACACAGGGGAAGCGAAGGAAAAATAAGATATAAACAGACAGGCAAACCGTAAGAAACTTAAATGCAGGGAACAAAATGAGGGTTGCTGGGGGTGGTGTGGGGGAGGGGCTGAGTGGGGGAGGGGCACTGGGCCCTGCTTCTGAAACCAATACTACACTGTATGTTAGATAACCTGCACTTAAATGGATATAAGACAATATACGAACTGGGGGCGTCTGGCTGGCTCAGTCAGTAGAGCATCCAACTCTCCATCTCGAGGTTGTAAGTTCGAGCCCCATGCTGGGTGCAGAGATTACTTCAAAAGAAACAAAATCTAATATATATATGTGTGTGTGCGTAAATATATATGTGTGTGTGTGTGTATATACCTTTGTGCATGTGTAATGTGTGTATATGTGTGTATACACTTGTATATGTGTATACGTGTGTATATGTATATATGTGTGCATACATATGTATATGTGTATATATGTATATGTGTGTGCATATGTGTATGTTTATGTGTGTATATATGCATATGTATTATGGGTATATATGTGTATACATATATATGTATATACATATGTATGTGCATTATATATGTATATATGCATATATGTGTGTGTACATGTGTGCATGTGTTTATATGTGTGCATATGTGTCTGTATGTGTATATGTGTGTATATGTCTGTGTATATGTGTGTAAATATGTGTGTATATGTGCATATACATGTATATATGTGTGTTTTTATACATATAAACTGGCATTTTATAGAAGAGAAACTACAAACGGCTAAGACACAGATGCTGCACCGCTCCATCACAGAAGCTACAAAATGCACATGAAGACGACGGAGAGAAAATCATTTCTACCCTCTGACCGGGGGTGGGGAGGGGACGCTGACTCGTACAAGCCCGTGGGAGGAAGAGGGCCCTTCCGACCGAGCAGCAGGGAGCGGAAATGGGCAGACCCCCTCGGAAAGAGTAAGCAGGCGGGCGGCTATTTCGGTGAAAACCGCGTCTACCTAGGCCCCATCGGGCCGCTAGCTTCTCTACACACGCTCCTGGGAGCCGCACGCCTCCTCACAGGCGAGTGGTGAGCACGGGGCAGTGGAGGCCCCTGGCGGGTCAGCACCCAGGGTAACAGCACAGCGATAAGCAGGAGGGCGGTGGCCCAGGACACCCCAGAGAGAGGCTGTCCACACCGCGGGGGCCCAGGAGAGGTGAGCAAGACCACAGCAGTGGTGGGAGACTCTCAGAACAGTTTCTCTGCGCCACAAGCTGCTCCAAGCACCTTACACACAGGCTAAATGAGGGCTCACGCTCAACAAGGTGCACCCTGACCATGACCCTGACCCTAACTGTGCACTTACGGCTCACACTTGGAAAAGTGCACACTAACCCTAACCCTAACCCCTAATACTGACCCTGACTCTCACACTCGGTGATGTGCACCCTAATCCTAGCCCTAATCAAACACTAACCCTAAGCCCTAACCCTACCCCTACCCCTAACCTGCTTACTTAGGGCTCAATCCAAGCAAGGTGCACCCTAACCCTAACCAAATACTAACCCTAAACCCTAACCCTAACCTTAACCCAGACCCTGACCCTAACCTCTCACTTACGGCTCACACTCAGAGAAGTGCACCCTAACCCTAACCCCAACCAAACTCTAACCCTAAACCTACCCCTTACACACATGCTCACTTACGGCTCACAGCAGGCGAGGTGCACCCTAACCCTAACCCTTCCACACCTGCTTACTTAGGGCTCACACCTGGTGAGGCGCACCCTAGCCCTAGCCCTAACCTAACCCCTAACCCTAAACCCTAACCCTAACTGTAACCTTAACTCTTCTACACCTGCTTACTTAGGGCTCACACCCGGCGAGGTGCACCCTAGCCCTAACCCTAACCCTTACACACCCTCTCACTTATGGCTCACACTCGGCGAGGCACACCCTGACCCTAACCCAAACCCTAACCCTACCCCAGCCCCACGGTGCGCAGGAAAGGCCGGTCTGAGCCCGGGCAGGCCGTCTGCAGCTCCTCAGGGCGCACACCCGTGGGGGGTACAGATGTGGGGGGAGGGGCGCAGTGACAAGAGCAGAGGGAGCACTATCCTAACCGCAAGGCTTCTGCTTTCCGAGGGGAACGTATTTGTGAGCCGCACACGGACCTCAAAACGGAGCTGATCCACACAGACCGACGCCGGTCGGTGGAGGGGCTGTTTTCTCTGTGCTCCACCTGCCGACACAGCTGGGACCCCCGCCTTCAGGATGTCCCTGGCAGTCTGGGGACTAGGCGAGTCCCCAGGTCATTCCAGCCCCCCACCCCCACCCCAGGAGGGCACGGGAGCAGGTGGGAGCAGACTTTCGGGACAGGCTCAGGATGGGCTCAGCAGGATACGGCCCTGCCCGCGAGCGCGGTGCTCTGGCCCGGCCGGTGCAGCGGTGAGGCTGTCCGCAAGCCGAGCCGCGGGCTGAGGGGAGTCTCGGGGTGGGGGGCACGCTGGCAGAGGCGAGGTGTCCGAGACCCGTAGCTCTTAGCTGAGTGAGGACCAGTGACGCAGAGGCCTCTGGCTGCTCCCACATAAAGGTCCCGTTCCCCATGCCCACCCTCGGGGACAGGCCTCTCTGAGTCCCCACGACGGCGCAGCGTTCTGTTTGCACCACGGGCGGCTCAAAAGTGGCCCCGCGGCCCCTACTTGTGGAAGAGGAGAGGGTGTGTGCCAGCAGCCTGGCCGTGTCCCCAGGTTCAGAGGAGTCACTACCCGGCTGACGCCTGACGCCCGCAGCCGCAGAGGCCCCGGGGGTGGAAGCGCCCTGAAGTCCGAGGGTGAATGGCCAGGGCGCCGGCGGCTGCTCCAAGGGAGTCGTCACCGCCACCCCGGCAGCGCCCGAGACCCGGCACCGCCCTCCCCTCCCGCAGCTATTTCTGGCCGGGCTAGGAATAGGCCGCTTTAAATACCCATCTCCCTCCTGGACTCTGCTCTCGCCCCGGCCGGCACCTCTAGAAGTCCTGGCGGGGAGTGGCCGCTCCACAGCCCCCACTCACAGGTCTCCCAAAGGACCCTGCTGAGGCTGCGGCCAGCGCGGGGTCCCTGTCCTTCCTCCCCAGCCGCCCCTGCCCCGGGAGCACCCCCTCCCCAGAGCCCTCCGCGCCCCATCACTCAGAGACTCAACCCCAGCCCCCGAGCCTGGCCGCGGTGGCGGGTGCAGCACCCGCTGTGCGCCAGCCTGCACAGGCATGTTTCCGGAGGCCCTACTGTGTGCTGGGTGCTGCTGCTCCGGGCGCCGACAGGGCCCAGAAGGCCTGTCCCCAGGTGGCCTTATCGGAGAAACCCGCCACACGGCTGCCGCTCGGCCCCGGGGCCTCCGCTCTCCCCCGGGGGACGGACCGGGCCCCAGGCGCCCTCAGCGCGCTCGTGCTCTGCACGGCAGGAAGGGGCGTGCAAAGGCCCCGGGGCACCCTCCCGGCGCGCACTCACTTGTTGAAGAGGTTGAGGCCGATGCGGTAGTGCCGCTTGCGGATGACGTCGTTGCTGAAGGCCGGGGAGTCCCAGCTGTTGCGGGTCTCCTTGTGGTAGGTCTGCTTGCTGAGCGTCTGCTCCCGCAGGCTGTCCCGGGACGACGACTCGGAGCTGCAGTTGATGGTGTCGTTGGAGTTGGACGTGCTGTTGACGCTGTCGTTGTCGCCGTCCGAGTAGTCGGACTCCGACCGGCTCTGCCTGTTGGCCGAGCCGTTGATGGCCAGGTGGCCGTCCAGGGCGCGGGGCGGCCGCGGCCGCGGCTCGGGCTCCTCCCGGGCCAGGCCGGCGGCGGGGCCGCGCTGCGGGCTGCCCTGCGGCGCCCCGGGGCCGCGCTCGTGGGCGCCCCGCCGCGAGAGCGAGCCGCGGTCCGAGCGGTCGCTGAGGTCGGCCGAGCTGTCGCTGGGCGGCTCCACGGTGAGCAGCGGGAGGGGCTCGGCGCGCGGCCGCGGCTCGGGCGCCGGGGGGCTGCGGCGGCCCGCGTCCGCGTCGCCCGTGCCGTCGGCGCGCCCCCGCGCCCAGGGGTCCCGCGCCGCGCCCCCCGCCCGCAGCCGCAGGTCGGCGTCGGGCGCCCGGGGCCCCGGCAGCGGCGGCGACAGCTCCTCCTCGTCGATGAACAGCGTCACGTCGCTGTACGACGCCGTCATCTCGTCCAGGCGCCGGCGGTCGGCGGCGCGCGGCGCGGGCGCGGCCTCGGGGTCCCGGGCGCGCCCCGCGTCGGCGGCGGGCGCCTCGGCGGCGTGCAGGCCGCGGCAGTGCAGCGCGTCGTCGATGGACTCGGCCAGCGACTTCACCTGCCGCGAGAAGGCGTCCTCCAGCTCGGTGATGGCGTCCGCCAGGTCGCCGGGGGGCGCGGGGGGCGCGCCGGGGTCGCCGCGCTCGGCCGGCGCCAGGGCCCCCCGCGGCGCGCCGTCGCCGCTCAGCGACACCTGCTGGCCCTCGAAGTAGGAGCCGCACAGCTTCTCGGGGCCCTCGAACGAGAACTGCATCCGCATGTTGGACAGCACGATGCGGCGCGACATGCGGTTCTCCGACATGGAGCTGCGCAGCCGCTCGAAGTTCTTGTTCATCTGGTACTGGCGGAAGGCCGCCTGGATGGTGCGCGCCGCGTGCCGGGTCACGAGGCGGCCGCCGTACTTGCGTTCTAGCATCTCCACCTGCGGGGGGGGGGGCAGTGAGGACGGCGCGTGGGGGGCGGCCGGGCGTGGGGGGCGGCCCGGCGTGGGGGCGCAGCGCCCAGCCCCGTGCCCGCCCCCCCCTCCTGCGGGCGCCCAGCCCCCCTCCTGCAGGCGCCCAGCCCCGTGCCCTGACCCCCGCGCTCCTGCGGGCGCCCAGCCCCCTGCTGGCGCCCAGCTCCCCTCCTGCGGGCGCCCAGCTCCGTGCCCGCCCCCCCTCCTGTGGGCGCCCAGCCCCGTTCCCTGCCTCCTGCACTCCTGCGGGCGCCCAGCCCCGTGCCCGCCCCCCCCCCTCCTGTGGGCGCCCAGCCCCATGGCAGCGCCCGCGCAGAGGCCCGGGCACAGCCCAGCGCTGGTTCCGACAACCGCTGGTGGGGGCTGGGCAGAACGGGGGCTCCCAGGCCACATAAGATTGGAGCAGCGCCACGTGAGGGCCAGACGTCCTCTGCCGGCCGAGTGGAGCCTTGGGAAGGGGGGGGGGCGTCCCCAGATGTCTTTGGCCACAGAGACCTCTGGCCCTCATGCATCGTGTGGCCTGTGGTTTAAGGAAACTTGGGAGCAGCGACTGGGGCACGAGCAGGTCAGGACACCTGCGAAGACGTCGGGGAGATCCTGGACCCTGAGCAGGGGCTGCGGGAGTGTGTGAGCGTGTGCATGTGTGTGCGCGTGTGTGAGTGTGTGACTGGGCTTCAGGGAGATCCTGGACCCTGAGCAGGGGCTGCGGGAGTGTGTGAGCGTGTGCATGTGTGTGCGCGTGTGTGAGTGTGTGACTGGGCTTCAGGGAGATCCTGGACCCTGAGCAGGGGCTGTGGGCCTCTGGGCTCGTTTCCTCTCCACAGCAGACAAGGGGGTGTGAGTGTGTGCATGTGTGTGCGTGTGTGTATGACTGGGCTTCAGGAATATCCTGGACCCTGAGCAGGGGCTGTGGGAGTGTGTGTGCGTGTGTGTGCATGTGTATGCGCGTGTGAGAGTGTGTGACTGGGCTTCAGGGAGGCCTGAGACCAGAACCTTCCTGAGGCACAGGCTGTGAGGCCAGATGCCAGAGCTCTAATCCTGGCCCTGCCCCTCGTTAGCTGTGTTACTCCTGCATGAGCCTTGAAGCCGTGCCCTTCCTCAGTTTCCTCATCTGTAAAGTGGGGACAGTGCCGGGACCGCCTCGGAGGATCACGGTGAGCCCCAGATGAGACAGATGCTGGAAGGCCCTGACTGCATTCCCGGAAGGTGTTTACAATTTGGGGGGGTCCCCAAGTGCCCTCAGTAGACAGATGGCGAGGCCAAGGCCCAGAGGAGCTGCTGAGCACGCGGCCGGAGGCCTCCAGACTCCAGAGCACACTCGCTCTGGCACCGCACGTCCCTCTAGGTGATGAGGGAGACACGGGGCGAGGCTGCGGGCAGGTGGCACTGCAGGTGGGACACATGAGCCCCCCGAGGCCGCGAGGCTCACGCCAGCGCTCGGTGACCAAGGTGGTTCCTGCGTGGGCGTCCGCCCCCAGGAGTCAAAGAGAATTCAAGGCCAGGACCTGGCTTCTCGGCCAAGCCAGGGCTCTTGGGGTGCTGGGCAGAGGGGGCGCCTGCTGTGGGGCCAAGGGAGGCCTCAGGTCCCCAAGAGGGAGGCGCCTGCCCGCCCGTGCCCACCATCACACCGCAGCAGGTGGCTGAGACAGATAAGGTCCCTGCCCTCGAGGAGCAAACGGCCGTCCGGGAGAACGACACACACGTGCCCGTAACTGAAACAACCAGACGCCGAGCAAATCCAGGCACCGGCCGGAGCCGGGGGGGCGGGCCGCTCAGGGCCGCTGTGGGTGCGCCGGGAGCAGACGGCTTGGAGCCTCACGCACCCCAGTGCGGGTCCTGGCCCCCTCCCGTCCCCCCGACGCCGGGGGGCCCACAGGCTGGGCAGAGCGGCTCCCTTCACAGGAGGGGAGTGTGGAGGGAGCGAGTGTGCAGGGGTGGGCGCGGGCCAGGGCGGGCCTGTTTTCCCTCCTGCCCTGCAGTTACTGAGCCGCGTCCAAGCGATGACCTCACTTCCACATCTGTGAGCAGACTGTTCCCGGGGTTGGGAGTGGGGCTCTGAACGGCGCCGACACAGGGCCCGAGGCTGAGCTCTAGGAAGCCGTCTCCTCTCTCTGGCGTCCGAGGCCTGTGTCGCGGGCCCCCCACGTCACCTTTGGGGGCGGGATCCCGAGGCTGGGGTCCCAAGGCCGGGGCCTCCAGCTGAGGCCCGGGGTTCACGTCAGGGCGCTCCCTCCCCTGCTGACTTTGCACCTCGAAAACCAAGCAGCGACCTGGTTTGCCTGAGACCAGCTCCCCAGATCTGGGGGAGGGGTCGGGGGGCAGAGGGACCCGGGGGAGGCAGGATGGGCTCTGTCTGTGTCACCGAAGCCCCTCTCCGTCCATCCTTCCTGACCCCCCCTGGGGACGCGCGCACCCCCGAGGCTCACCCCGCTGATCCCTCTGTCTGGGCCAGAGCTGACACAAGCCCCGTCGGAAAGTTCCGTGGGTGCCGGGGAGGGTCCAGGCGTACGTGCTCCTGCTGCCGTCACCCTCGCCCGGTACTCACGTGGCATGCGGTCTGCAGAGGGGCTCCTCCCCCCACTCCTCGGAGGACCGAGGCCCCGGGGCTCTCCCCGCGAGCCCAGGACCCTTCGCAGCCGTCGGGAGGGATGGGGACGGAGGGGAGACGCCCTTCCGCACAGCACAGCCACCTCCTGATGACGCGGGACTCCTGGTCTCACTGATAGGAAGCCACCGGAAGGTACAGCGGCCCTGAGCCAGCGGGCTCCCTTCGCTAAGCGGGGCTCTGCGTGCCCCGACTCTTAATCCCTGGGGAGCTGGGCCCCACTCGTACCTGGCGGCTCCCATGTAATCTGTCCCCACCCCCCCGCTCTCGCTGGGACTGCCAGGAAGTCAGCGGCTCAGCGGCCGCCGCACCTTTTCACCGCCTCGTCCTTGCCGCTCTTTCTACCACTGCTGTTCTGCCTCAGGGCCTTTGCACCGGCGGTTACCGCTCCCTGGAAGGCCCCTTCCTCAGACACTGCATTCTGATGCCAGCTTGGGGAGGCCTTTTATCCAACACTGTCCCAACCACAGTCACTCCACCTCGTCCCCTATGTCATAGTCTCTGGAGTTTGTATCCCATTCCGGAAGTAAACTGTCGGTGTGGCTGACTTGTCTGTGGGCCCATCTCCGGGAGCACGGTGTCAGCTCCAGAGCCGGGGCCTCAGCCTGCCCATCGGTGACCCCCAGCACCCGGCACCGCGTCTGGCACACGATGGGCTTCTGGTTAATATGCAGGGGATGCAAATGAGCAGCTGTGGCCACGTAAGGCCGGTGACGTGACCACAGGCCTCTCTCGGGCCTTAGACGCCCCGACTCCTGTTTCCCTGCTGCTGCTGGGGGTCCTCCCCTGTGGCGGTTTCCGATCCGCTTCGGGGCACGTGCCCCGGGAGGGGGGCCACTTGCTCTCAGGCCCCCCCCAGCTCACAGGCGGAGGGCGGACGGGAACGAGGGCTCTGCGAAGTCGCGGTGGCACCGAGAACGCACAGGAGCCGGCAGGGACTCTGTTTGGGGGTGGGGGGCGGCACGACCCGCCCCGGGCAGTACCCGCACCGCTCCTCCGAGCCGGGTGCCCCCCCGGGCCCGGACCTCTGCTCCGGAAAAGACAGCGGGGAAGGCTAGGAAGCAACCAGAGGGCGGCCCGGCGGGGGCGGGGGCGCCCTGGGCTCCCGAGGAGGTAGGCTGGGCCTTGCTCGTGTGCACGCTGCCCGCCACGGCCTCCGCGCTCCCAGAGCCTGAAGCGTGCCGTCCATTTCACACAAGACTTCCAGTTAAAGTACCTACTACGTGCCCGCACTCTGGAAGGGAGAGCTCGGCCGCCGGCCCCCGCCCACCACCTGGCGGCGACAGGCCTCTCCCCTCGGCCCCAGGAGGCCGTCTTCAGTTCTCCCCGGAGCCCGGCCGAGTGGGCAGGCCGTGCACGCCCACCCCCCGGGGGTCCGGGCCAGGGCCCCCGCGGGAGGAACGGGGCCCTCAGCGAGGTCGTGCCCCACGAGCGCACGGACTGTAAACCAGAGGGACATCATAAGCAGGCTCGCCCACTGGCTGTGCCGGGCCTTGCTGTGCTTTCCAGAGCGCGTGCTATTTACGGTGTAAGCTGACCCCCCCCCCCCCCCCCCCCCCCCGGGCTCCTCCCGGGACCGCACAGGGTCCAGGCCTCTCCTGGGACCTCAGGCACTCAGCGTCCGGCCGCCCGACCTGTGCGCGCGACGCTGCGGGCTGCGGGGACGGGGGGGCGAAGTCCTGACACCCCAGCGCCCTCGCTCCCAGAGCCTCCGCGGTCGGGAGGCGCCAGAAGGGGGCCCGGGCCGGCACGGAGGCCACGCTCGGAGCGCGCGCGACCCGACCTCGCTCCCGCTGCCCCGGCCCCCCCGCCGCCTACCTGCTTGTCCTGCAAGTCCGAGGAGAGCTCATAGCTCTCAGACAGCGACCGCGAGCGCTTGATGGCCTCCTCCTCGGCCTGCTTGCGCAGGATGGAGGCCGAGTGCTGCAGCTTGGGCCTCCGCGAGCGCTGCTGCCCCGGGGGGCCCGAGTAAAGCCCATAGGCTCCCGCCGACGTGTGCTCGTAGCGGTCCGGGCTCAGGCTGGACGCAGGCGCCAGGGGCCCCGGGTGGCAGGCCGACGCGCTGTCCAGGGACGTGCCGGTCTCGCTGCTGGCGGCCTCGCCCTCCACGCTGCAGGGACAGAGAGAGGGCGTCCTGTGAGTGGGGGCCCCGGCCAAGAGGCAGCCCCCCGTGTCCCCCGCGACACCACTCAGCGTCCCGCACACCTTGCTCACGGTCCGTCTCCCACATGAGCTCGCTGGCTCCTGAGGACAGAGGCCGACCCACTACGTGCCCCGATGAGCCCAGGGCGCGGCACGTAGTAGGTGGTCACCGAACATGTACTGACCCGCTAAACGATTCCGGTCACCTTCTCTCCAATCCTACCATGTCGATTAGGTCAACAGCTGAGTTTTGTACCTCTGGTTCTTACTTTTTTAAAAATAAAAATTAACAAAAGTGACTCTTCTCTCCACACCTACTTGGGCGCCAGGCACCGTAGCGTTCGTCTGGGGCTGAATCGTGTCCCCGCCCAGAACTGTGTCCTGAAGGCCCAAGCCCAGCGCTTCGGAACGTGCGTGAGGAGACGCACCTTCAGGAGGGGGGTAAGTTACAGTGAGGTCTCGGGTCCTGACCCAACACGACCGCGTCCTTCTGAGAAGAGATTAGGGGCCAGACACGCACAGAGGGACGGCCACGCGAGGACCCAGGGAGAAGGCGGCCCCCGAGGAGAGGGGCCTCCGTGACACCGGCACACGGGGCGTCCGGCCTCCCTCCGGCACAGCGAGGAGACAAACGCTGCCATTTACGTAGAAATCCCAGTCTGTGCTGTGTGTACGGCAGGCTTGGAAACGAATGCCGTGTTGTGCCTCCGTTTTCTCTAAATCTTAAAACCCGTCTGCAAAGAATTATGAACTCCCCCTTTCCAGGTGGGGAAACTGAGGCCCACAGAAGTACACACAGTTGCACACGTAGTGAGTGGGTGAGTCAGGCGGGGGGGGGGGCTGGCGCCCAAGGGGGATCTCTGGATCCGAGACGGGGCGCACCCTCCACCTCACTGCCCTCACGCCAGGACGCGATGCATCCCCCTCAGCATTCCACACGCCCGGCTGTGGGGACAGACAGCAGTGGCTCATCCCACGTTCGTGAGCTCAGAAAACGACTTCGGTCCCTCCTACAGACGGCTTTAGAGCGTAGGCAAGGAGACAAGGGCGCTTCTGGCACGGCTTCCGGCAGCCTTTCTGGTCAAGCCTGGCCACCTCCCCGCCCCTGCAGGATGGCGTCTCTGATCCCCGGGGCCAGGGCAGGGGCCTCTCTGGAAGGGGCCCAGCAGAGAGAAGGGGACACAGCGCCCCCCTCAGGCTGCAGGCCTTCCTCAGGGGTCCCCATCTTCAGACCAATGGGAGGGGCCCCCCACGTGACATCCTGGGGCCAAATGGTTCCCCCCCCCCCCCCCGCCGGCTCCGCTGCCTCTGTCCCCAGGTCACAGGCCCTGCCCGGACAGAAGGTGCCGGCTGACGCTCTCCTGGGGGAGACGACTCAGAGCAGGGGCAGAGGCGCGGCCTGCCCTCCGCCTCCCCTTCTGCCCCGAGCCAGGGACGGGCTGCAAATCCCTGCGCTTGGCCTTCCAACCTGCAGTTCAAGAACAGCACAAGGCTTCCGCCCCACCCACCGGCTCGGCCGGGACACGCGTGGGTGTCCTTCCTCGGGGAAGAGCCCTGGGGCTCTGCTGTGATTTGGCCGTGAATCGGGGGGGGCTCCCTCACCTCAAGGCCCCCCCCCCATCCACTATCAGCGTGGGCGGACTGGGCCCTTTTAAGGTGCCGGAGGACCGGGACCCTTGAAGAGGCTCCTGACTTCAGTCACCCAACGGCTGTTTCCTTTGGAGCCCGGCTGGGGGCACTGGGTGGGGGGAAGCAAGGGGGCGTCGGAACTTAACCCCCCCAATCTTGTGGCGCAGCTTTGAAGGCCGCCTCACAATAACTCTCAGTGCCGCGAGCGGGAGCCACACGCAGGAGAGGAGTCCCCGGGACGCGCCCACGGACGGACGACCCAAAGCTCCAGCCTCTGCTCTGGCCCCGCGCCCCCAGCCTCGCCTCCCGTGCAGCCTCGGAGCCGCGCACGAGGACGTATTTCTACACATCCCCCCCCCCCCCCCCCCCCCCCCACAGGAAACGCTTGGGTCGGGGCAGAGGCTGACAGCAAACAAATCCCATCCTGAAGACACGCGGCCGGGGCTCCGCGCCTAAGGTTTCAAACAGTCTCACAAGCCCGAGTTTAGGGAGACGCAGGGGGACTGAGGGGCGGTCTCTGCGCAGGCCCCAGAGCAGGAAGCCCTCCCGTGCCTTCCGGTGGCTCTGGCCTGGCCGCCTCGATGGCGGGGTCACGGGCGGGACATGAGCGGGGTGCTGACTTGACAGGAAGCAGCACTTTCTGGGATTCCTGGCTCCCGACTGTCCCAAGGCAGCAGGTTACAGGACAGGCTCAGGACACAGGCGCGAGCCTCCCTCACAGCCAAGGGCAGGCGTCTGGCGGTCACTCGCAGCCCTTCCCTCCACCAGGATGGCAGCCGCGGCCTCCTCTCCCCTGCGGGCCGACCTTCCTCGCACACCCGGGCTCTGCTCGCTTCTCCGCAGGTGGTCCTGGGTCATCACAAGGGCAGTGCCCCCCACCCACCTTCTCCCGGGGCTGTGCCAGCGCCTCTGACGGAGCAGAAGGCCCAGGGCCTCCCTCGCCCCCATTACACGCAGAAGGCCTGGCCTCAGCGGCTCCCGTCCTAGCTCCTCCCCCTCCTGACTCACACACTTCCGTCCTGTCTGCTCAAGGGGTCAGGCGCCCTCCTGCCTCAGGGCCTTTGCACTGGCTGTTCTCTGCCTGGAACACTGTTCCCCAGATCTCTGTTATCCCCGGATTTAAAGTTCACAGCTCCCTCCCCACAGACTACCGGTCCCTTTCTTGGCTTTCGTTTTCTTCTTTGATGACCGTCTTTGCTTCGAAACATTGTGTATGATGTATTTATCTAGTTTTTCGGTTTGTAGCGGGTCTCCCGCATCAGCACGTGAGCTCTGCGAGCGTGGGGTAACTCGTGCGCTTCGCCTGCTGGAGCTCCGCAAGTGCCAGCGCACGTGCCCAGCTAACAGCGCTCAGTAGATGCCAGAGCAGAGAAGGTGCCTGCCCCGCGCCTGCTGGGTGCCGGGTCCTGGGGCGCAGTTTCCGTCGTCATTGCTGCCGACACCCCATGTGCCCGTGCTCTCTCTCCGTCGTCACCTGTGACACGAGCCAGGGTCCTGGGTGCCATCGCTTCAGGCCCTCCCCCACAACCAGCCCCACCCCCATCCCATCCAACCTGTCCCAAGCCCTGTCGAATCTACCTGGATGGCATCCCCTCGGCTGTGCCATGTGGAAACGCCTTCCCGGCACCAAAACCTAAACCACCCCACGCCGTCCTGGTAAGGAAAGAAGCGGCCAGGCCGCCCTACCCAAGGGGCAGCGCCCCACACCCCCCTGTCCTCCGACACGTGAGCGAGCCGCACACAGAAGTACGTATGTAGCGTGAGCCGAGCCAGGGGACGATCAGAAGCCACACACTATTCGACACGAAAAGAGACTCTCTTCTTAATGGAGCCAAACAGCTGGTGAGCAGAGAGTTAACTCTCTTCTCAAGTGAAAATGCCCTGTGGTGACGAATTTGGGCAAGAGTTGAAGTCGGTGTACGTTTCTCAGAGTCCTGGATGGAAGCAGTTGTTGAACTCCACTCGACCACCCTCTGGTGGGAACCGCAAAGGTCCTTCATGTACCGCAACAGCCTGAAACTCACGGGCGACTCGGTCCGGGTTGGTGCTCAGCTCTGCCCCCAGTTCCTTCCTGGGCAGGCAGGGGGGTGTCCAATGTGAAGGGAACCGTCATCCCCTCCCTCCCTCCCCACAGCTGATGGCCCCGGGGATGGAGACTTTTGCTTTTTTTTTTTTTAATTTTTTAAATTTATTTCTAGGAGAGAGAGAGAGAGAGACAGCGTGAGCAGGGGAGGGTCAGAGAGAGAGGGAGTCACAGACTCTGAAACAGGCTCCAGGCTCTGAGCCGGCAGTCAGCACAGAGCCCGACGCGGGGCTCGAACCCACGAACCGCGAGATCATGACCCAAGCGAAAGTCAGACGCTTAACTGACTAAGCCACCCAGGCGCCCGAGACCTTTGCTTTATGTGACGTCCACGCTGGACACGGCAGGGACCTGGGGGTCAGGGACATGTCAGGGCCGCCCCCCCCCCCCGCCCCGCTGCCCCAGCCTCCTCCTCCCTCCCCGGCTTCCCGCACCAGCGGCCCGCCCTGCACACCACCCTGCACACGGTGCTTTCCCACCAGAGCTCAACATCTCACCACCAGCTCAGCTCCCCCTGCAACCTGCGCCCGCCAGCCGGGCCTCAACCGCACGAGGGCATTCGTGACCCCCCAAGACACCTGGGTCCCACGCACATCAAGGAGTGGGGCAGGCCCCTGTTCAAGTGCCTGACAGTCCCTGACAGTTTAGAGTTTCTGGAACATTCTACGACAGGTAGGTGGCTGCGCCCAGCACTCTCAGAAGATGCTCCCGGTCTCGTAATCCATCTCCTAGATTCGCGCTAAGGAAACGAGCGAATCCGCGACGCGGTGAACGCAAGCGTGTCTCTGCAGGGTTGTTTCCAATTATAACCGTTTGAAACGATCCGAACGCCCGTCAACAAGGGGCCGATTTAAGTCACTCATACATCCCTGTAACGGAAACAACGGCAGGCCCGGGGCACGTTCTGGTTTGACGGCTGAAAAGCCGAGACTTTTCTGGCCGACCGTAAGTTTAACACGAGCGGGGCAGGGGCACGGCCGCGAAGCCAGTCGCTAACGCGAATGTAAAGCCAGAAGCACGGCCTGGCCGTCCGCGACGGGTCAGGTCGCAGCGGGGCCGTGTCTGGGCACAAGCCGGGCGCCGCGTGCCCCGCCTTCTGGCTCGCCCGTGGCAGGCGTTGCTGAGCGCAGATGCCCTCCCGCAGACCTTCCCGCACGGCGTCCACGACTGACCCCAGCCGCGTGGCGCGGACTCCATTTGCCACCCCCCAATTACAGAGTAAAACCCCAGGTCTGAGAAGCCACTGCTCACCAAGA